GTAAGTAACATATAGAAAATTGACTTGGGATCCGTTGTTGTTCTTGCAGCAAATTCCTAAATGGTGGATTTGGTTGTATTACCTGACTCCAACATCTTGGTCACTACACGGTTTGCTTACTTCACAATATGGAGACATAAACAAGGAGGTTATAGTATTTGGGGAAAACAAAACAGTGTCCGACTTCTTAAAGGATTACTTTGGGTTTCACCATGATCAGTTGGCTCTGGTTGCAGTGGTTCTCATTGCTTTTCCCATTGCTTTCGCATCCATTTTTGCATTCTGCATAGGGCGGTTGAACTTCCAGAGGAGGTGAAACCCCCTCTTACCATAGATGAGGAAAATGTCATATGCACTAGGTAGCCATCTGTTTGTATGTAAACCTGTCAGTTGGTAATAATTTTCAAAACTATTATAGCCTACTAGAAGATATGTTTTAAGTTCTAAGTTTGTAATGTTAGATAAATTATGTTTCTCTTTTCCTCTCAGCCATTTGGATGGAATATTTCTAGGCTCTGAGCCAAATTAACGAAGGAACAAGAAACTAAAATTTTAAGAAAATGAATGGATCAATAATCATAATTTCGTTGTTTACCAAACAAATGTATCAAGACATTGATGTTGCTTTGCAGCTGATGCTTTCTTGCGCACAGCAATCTAATACAGAAATCAGCTTTTTTACATGTTTTCATCCACTAGACTCAAAATTCAATACATCTTCTTTAATGTGATCCAAACATGCCAAATGGAAATATTTGAAAAGAAAAAACAAATAAGGGAAACACAATGACAAGCAAGCAAAAGCGAGACTCCTGACTTCAAAAGCAGATTATTGACCAACTGCAAGTAGAGAGAGAAGCACATATTTTACTCTTGAGGCTTTTCCCACTTCAAGGGCTTCACCACTTCCCATGAAAAGTCAGGATCATCTCTACCAAAGTGTCCATAAGCAGCTGTTTTCAAATACCTACCCCTCTTGAGATCCAAATTTATGGCAATCATTCCAGGCCTGAAATCAAAGCTCTCCTTTACTATTTTCAGAATCTCCTTGTCCGGAATTTTTCCCGTGCCATAACTATCAACAAACACTGATAGTGGCTCAGGAACACCGATGGCATATGAGACCTGCACTATGCACCTGCGAGCAAGACCACTGGCAACAATGCTCTTAGCAGCCTGCCTAACAATGTAGGCACCACTCCTGTCTACCTTGGTAGGGTCCTTGCCAGAGAAGGCACCACCACCATGGGCTCCCCAACCACCATAGGTGTCAATGATGATTTTGCGGCCGGTGAGACCTGCATCACCGTGAGGCCCACCGATGACAAACCGACCTGATGGGTTAAGATGGAAAATAGTCTTCTCATCTAAGTACTTCGCAGGAACAACAGGCTTAATGACATGTTCTTTGAGGTCGGTAGCAATTTCGTCATTAGTAACAGTTTCATCATGCTGAGTAGAAATGAGAACAGTGTGGACACGGATTGGAACCATAGCCCCATGGTCATTGTAGTATTCAACAGTGACTTGTGTTTTGCCATCAGGTCTCAACCATGGCAGGGTCCCATTCTTGCGAACTTCGGTGAGACGGGCACCAAGCTTGGTAGCAAGGACATGGCTTAGAGGCATAAGCTCAGTGGTCTCATCAGTGGCATAACCAAACATGTGACCCTGGTCTCCAGCACCAATTTCCTCAGGCCTTTTGGTGAGGTGGCCATGGACACCCTGAGCGATATCAGGGCTCTGTTGCTCAATGTTAACCAAGACCTTGCAGTTGTCAGCATCAAGGCCAACATGATCTGAAACAAATCCAATCGTACGGCAGGTGTCACGTACAATTTTCTCATAGTCTACTTTGGCTTTGGTTGTAATCTCTCCAAAGACCATGACCATGTTGGTCTTGGTGCAAGTCTCACAGGCAACTTTGCTGTCAGGATCTTGCTCAAGGCAGGCATCAAGCACTGCATCAGAAATCTGATCACAGAGCTTATCAGGGTGTCCCTCATTCACAGACTCAGAAGTAAATAGGAAAGTGTCCATTTTTACAAGCTGAAAACGAACCGATATTAGAGTTAGTAAGTACCTCAGCATATAAGCAGCAGTAGCTAAGTGACATATAGAGATGCAAAAGTAAATGAATAATCTATATTAAAAGTATGGGAAGAGAGTTTTCATAAAATTTTCCTCCAAAGTAACTATACCAAAGAAAAGGTCATCAGACAAGCTTCTATCACACACCCATTAAAGAAAAAAGCTAAAAACTCAATCAGGAAGAGAATCAGTCCCGTTAACCATAAATAATAGAGAGCTGGAAAGTACCACTCTTCCAGTTCAAGCGATCATAGCAACAGTAATGTAAGCAAGTAAAATTTGTCCACAAAAAGAAAAAATGAAAGCAAGTAATTGAGTTTGGTGCAAAACTAGGAAAAACATTTAATTACATCACAAGACTTTCAAGCAAAGAAACAAGAATACAAAGTCAGACAGAGCTATATCACCATCCACTCTCAAATTCTCAACCAATCACAAAATAATGGGCCAAAGACATTTACTTTTGACTCATTTCTCTTCTATGAATATATTCATATCCATTCACATGTCCTCATTACAAACAAAACAAAGAAATATAACTTCAGAATAAAATTGCCAAACTGCCAAGTTCAAACTGACTCAGGAAAATTATTTAACTCACAAACTAACTTTGCTTATTTCCACTTAAACTTGAAACAGAGACTTCATCACAAACGCATATTGAACACATAACATAAGAGCACCCAACAACAATAATAAGAAAAACCCAGAAACTCAATCTCAAAGAAAAAAGAACCCAGCTTTGAAAGTTCAAAAACAATTCAGAAAACAGACAATTCAAGCCGAGTACAAAGCCAAATGAAAAACAAGAAAAGCAAAAGCCTTGCATGGAATTTGGCTCTTACTCTAGTGCTTACTTATTAAGCGAATATCTGAGTCCTGAGGCTGAGCTTTGCGTGTTCACAGTGCCTTGGTACCCGAAAGCTGGAATCTTTGCCACAATGACACACAGACTCCGGGGCTTTATTTATAGACGGAGGAGGGTCTGGTGGCTTAAATATACAATGACAAATTGGCAAATTGTCACATTGACAAATATATTACTTATTTTTCATATATGTTTTACATCCGTGGGAATTGACGGTTAATATTTGTTTTTAGTTATGACGTATGAGAATGAAGATAGTGGCCGTTGGATGAGGATGGATTGAGGGCTGGGATTGAAGGGAGTCGGTGGACTAAAGCGACAGACCGTCCGATTTGGTTTTGATCCTTTACTGATGGAAGTTTGCATTTGCAGCCCCTTTTTTGTTTTACACCTAATTTAGAGAATTGATTCGTGGGGTTGGTGGGTTATTTGGGGGTTCACCAACTCCGGGATGTGAATTTGAGCGAAAAACACACATGCTGATCATTAAAAATTATGTAAATTCCATGACACTCTTTGCATGCGGCATGATTGCTCATGTTTATACTTCACAATTTGTATCAAATTCAATTGCCAAACAAATTAATAAGAGGCGCATTTTTTCATGTTGCAGGCTTTTTTTCTTTTAATCAACGAGAGGGGAGTCGAACTTCATATCTCTTTCAACATTAGAAAAAGAAGTTAATAAAGTAAAGTAACATCAACATAATTGAGGACTTGCTTTTAATTTGATTGCTAAATACGCAATTAACGGTACCCGCGTGATAATCTAATGTAAAAGTTAATTACTTTGCTTTTACCTAGGTTTAATATTGTAGCCTTAAAGGTGTGGTATGACATAGCTTAGTTGCGTAAGAATCAACAAAACACACATATAATCACACAAAAAAGGGCATAAATAATAAACTTAATTACATTTTAAAACTAATAAGATCATGGTCATGGGTAGGGTTGTATCATTATTCACCAAGTATTGGAGTCCACGTTGTCTACACATGATGCAAACGCAACTGGTCTCCACCTAATCCCCCCTTTGATTTACACTAAAGGAAGAAGAACAAGAAAAAAGATGGCAATGTGAAGTTGGTTGTTGGGTTATAGTTGGTCTAATTTAAGCTGGTTCTTGAATATTAGCATGCATGATGTCACCCAAAAAAAAAAAACAGTTTTTAATTGTGATTTTTCTCCACATCTCTTCTTATACATTCCTTTAATTCATTCTTTTCTTTTATTTAATTGGTTCATGCATTTGCTTTCACAATGAAAATTAAGTACTGGTTTTTATTTTGTATTTTTTTAAGAAGAAAAAAAAATAGTGATTTTGTTGTGTTTCATGCTGCCGCTGCTCTCACGTCACATTCTCTCTGTTTCTCAGCCTCGAGTAATACGACACCAAAGACTGCCGTTTGATAACTAAAGTTAAAATACAAAAAGTTAGGTTTTTGCGGTGAGCGTGGATCGAACACGCGACCTTCAGATCTTCAGTCTGACGCTCTCCCAACTGAGCTATCCCCGCATGCTTGACTTTCATGAACGTATAATACCATATAGACTATAGCCGTAGGATCAAATTACAACATAAAAAAATTCTAAATAAAATTCTGTAGATTCACAAAGTACAACCCAACCCCCACCTCTAGCTGTTTTGGTTTTCAGTTCTTATGAAGAAACTTATTTCTTTCACCATTGAAAAAAAGGAGAAACAACATCAATCAAATAAGTCTCACCTAGATTCAGAATATCAATGGCAGGAGGGGGATTATTTCTTCTAGCTATACTGCTTTATGCCAAGACTTGAGAAGTCTGTCTGGGGTTTCCAAATCTTATGATGCCAAAACACTTGGCAATCTTTCATTTTTTTTCTTTCTGATTGCTCATATTCAACTCAAATTATATGTGCAATGCATTCAAAGTGACGCCATTAAATGAATCACAATAAAAATCCAGGCAAGTAAAGCCATTCTTGTCTAACTGTTAATCACAATAAGACACGCTAATCATCAGTCTATTAGGCATACCCAGAAACAAAAAAGATCATTTCTGTTTCAAGGCCACTTCTAAATAAAATCTGCTGCCACACATCCATTAACATCTACACAAGTATTTGCTAGTGCTGCAGAAAACATACAGACCACATATGAAACAGACTAGCACATTCATACAAAAAGAGATACTCCATCTGGTGCCAGCCCTCATAATTACAAACTGGTAGTTCTCCACTTGGATTAGACAAATTATCGTTTTATATGATCCCTCATGGTCATCTTCACGAGTCTATGACCACCTCCATTTTGCCAAACTCCATGCACTGGCAACCGTTCTGGTGGATCCTTGTCTCCATCTTTTTTTTCTTCACAATCACCAAGTTCTGAAAGTTCAGTAGCATCATTACCAAGCCGGTTTCTGAGAAACTTTGGAGTCTTTTTCCGTTGCTTATTACCTCCTCCCCCAGTTCCCAAATTTTTATTTGAGCTGCCACCAGTTGACTGAAAACCATTTTGACCCATCAGCATTTGATTTCCTGGAATTACATCCTCAATTGAAATCTTTGATTTTCCTTTGGCAGAATGAATAGCATCCTTCAACAAGACTGCTGCATCTTCTACTGGAGGTTTATGATTTGATTGCAAATTCCTGACAGGGTTGATAGGACAATCTGGCAAAGCATATTTTGAACTGCTAATTCCATTATCTTCACACTTTTCCTTTCCTTTCTTGGAACTTTTGCTCCTTGACTTGCTGCTGCCATTACACAAATTGATTTCATGAGAACCACTGCTCTTCATATTAAAATTGTAAGTCTCAACAAGCTCTCTTTGCTTCTCAGCATCAGGACAGAGTCTAGCTAGCTCAAGAACCAGATGTGACAGGCCAAACTGGTAGACATAGGCAAGATATTCCTCTGTGTTAATAATATCCTTGCGGTACTCTGCAGATATTTCTTTAAATGCAGAGAATTTGTTCTCATCAGATTCTAAAGCATCACGGATTTTTTCCACAAGAGACTTGTTGACAGTGTGTACATCTCCAACCCTTGGTAATCTCCGACTACTTGCAGGTTCTTTATTTGTTTGAGTAGCAGAAACAGAAGGAAAATCAGAGTTCAAAGAACCACTCTTGATAAGGTTTGGAGGTGAAGAAGAGCGGGTGACCTTGCTGGTTCCAGTTGAATTTCTTGAACTAGCAAAATTAGATGATACAAACCCAGTAGTTGAAGCTTGTCTAACTGGAGCAGTCTTACTTGGGGAAAATACAGGAGAGCTAGATGATGACATGAGCCCAGAGGCCGAAGAGGGTTTTTTCTGGTGTGAACTACTGGCAGATGATTTAGGTTGTCGATTTGTGGTGGACCAAGATCGAGAAGAATTCAGGACTGTTACTTTGTTAAGCCGACGTATGCGAGAAGCCATTGTACTACCACTCAATCCTTCTGAACCATTTCTAAATCGCCTGTCACTTTGAACCACCGGAAGTGGAGGGAAGGCTGATTCTTGCTGTAGTTCATTCCGGGAGTTTTCTCTTAATTCATGAGAGCATCTTGAAGATGGCTCAGATTCTGCAGTAGCCAATGACTCAAAAGAACCAACAATAGTTTCAAGTTCATTTGTTTCTTGGCGAACAAAAACTTCTTGGGTACTAGATGATGTATTATGACACCTTTCCATGGTGGCTGTATCAAGGCTAGCTTGAAGGGCCAAGGAAAGTTGATTGTCTGCAGCATCAAAACGAGAACCATGTCCTCTACCATGAAGTTCTTGCTCATTACTTCTCCTAAACCGGAAGCTCACTGGTATCTGCTTTTAATAAAGAATAAGCAAGCACACAATTAAATCTGTATCATATAAGATCTATGAAAAAATGAGGATGCAAGTGGATACAGAAGATGGCTATAAAAAACCTATAATGGAATGGACACAACAAAGAAAGCAAGGGGAAAAAAACTAAGAGTGATAACCGCCACATCAACTATATCACATACAAACCTGAAGAGCAATATTACGCCTAGAGCGAGACATGTTCCCTCCATGTTCCTTGGCATTATGCCTCTGCAGATATAAACTCAAGTGAGCATAACCTCAACATAACATGGCAAGAAAAATCAACTATATGTTTGCCTTATATTCAAGAACTAACAACAGAAAGGAGATGGATAAAGACCAAGTTGATATGCACTAAAATATCACCTTTATCTCAGACTCAGTTGCAAAAACAACAAACTTTTTTGTTAGGCAGTCCTCATCCTTGCATAAAAAATGTGCTTGAGAAAAATGATTCTGCAAAATAGGATGTCAACTGAGAAGCCAATCTCAATGATGAATTTGTACTTGCAAAGCATGAATAATAACCAGTTGGGAATGGAAAATAATTTACCTCCAAGTCATCATACTTATTATAGTATTCATATTGTCCTGGATGCTGCCTGCATTGAAAATGTGGTGGATGTAAGTTCGCTAAAACTTACCTTCGCATAAACAGAACAGGTTACCTTTGCATAAACAGAACATGTTACCTTTGGCACATATGGCAAGTATAATGGTCGGTAGACATATGCATGTACAGCTCGTTATCTCCATAAAATGGATTTTTACAAAAATCACACATAGGATGTCCATTAAATCCACCTCTTTCGGTCTCACTGCCATCTACCTCTGAATCACCTGTCTCTGTATGCCGATCCAATTGTGCTTTAGTATATAGCTTTTGCTCACAGATAAATATCTGTAGTAAAATTTGAAGTCAGAGACATCAGGGTGAAAATATGAAGCATCAGCATCAAGGTTCATGCTTCATGCTTCCAAATGAGAGAAGAATTTGGCAAGATTTCAGAAAAAAAAAATTGTATAAACCCCTAAAGCATCAATATATAACCAAAAAATGGAAAATATAGCAATGTTTATATGATATCTCATGTCTGTCTTACACAAGAGTGATCACTATTATATCATGTAGTGCGTTATCATACAAGATCTACAGGAAAAATGCCTATCCTCAAAGCCTCAGTGTATCATTCTCTCAGAAGTACAACATTATGAGATACAACAATTATACATCATCATATAGTGTCATCTAAATGTTTCTCACCTTCCGACCCCCCAAACACAGACTGCACATGAACAGCCCATGACGATGGAATAAATGATTTTTCAGCAGCTCAACATTTTTAAACTCCCCTTTTCTCTTTGACTCTTCACTCCTTAGTTCATTTATCTTATCACAAACGCCACACGATAGCCTGCACATGGCCTTTATCATCTTGTAGTGATCAGGATCGTCAAAAAATGCTTGTGTTCCTTCATGATACCAGTACAGTCCAACTTGACCTTCCATTGGATCAGCTGGGAAAACTGAAAAGTCATTAATCATCCTTGTATAGTTGCCTAAAGCCTGGGGAAAAAGAAATTGTAGGAGCAAGAAAAATTTCAAAAAAAGGCGAAAAATAGAAGTAATTATACATACTAACTTGTCATATATTCTATCAATAATTTTACATCATTACTCATCCTCTATATTCTTAATAAGAAACCATCCTGGGTTGTATTGGATCTAACAAGATAGATGAAAAATACATGTTAATATGTCTGACAGTTCAATTCTACCAAAGCAAAAATAACATTTTGCAATGCCTAACCTTCGTGACAAAGATGATTCTAGATTCACTCTTGCAGATGCAGCAATGGGAGTCTCCACATATGAAACGGAGGCGGATAATGCAGGTGGAGCAGACCTCACGATGGCCACAGGGGCCATATGCTACCCATTGAAGTGTCTCCGCACAAACAGCACAGCTATCATCCATTGTATCTCTTCTCTCTTCTGCAAAACAGAATTTATTGGGTAAAACATTAGCCGCAAGGCCAAAAATGATGTCATTTCCACAAAGAAAAGACATCATGTGCTTCCACAAAACAAGAAGAATAAAGCACCCAAGTACTTGAACAAAAATCCACTCAGCAAGAAACATCTACAGAATGGCCTAACATATCAAAACAGATTGTTGAAGCATCCTTCACAATGTTCTTATCTTACATGTGCACTGCAAGAGTTTTTTTTTTTTTTTTTTTTTTTTTGGCATACAGATAGGTACAAAACAATGAATGCATTTGCATACAAAAATGACCAAAATAAAACCCATTAATCCCTCATGCACATCAAGCAAAACCAAGAAAAATTACAACACATTACTCCTTTACATACCTAGCTAGATCACACATATAGTGCTATATGAAAAGCTAGACTTACGAAAAAAAAGCTCTAAGTAACTCAATCAAACAGTGAGAGAGATTGAGCTGGGCCGACGGTTCCTGAGAAGGAAATTACCAAACAAATAATGAAGATTTTGTCGCTCAATCCTTTCGTTTTCGCAGCAAACGAACACGGATCCAGATGCAAACGGCAGAGAGTAAAGAAAGACTACTGCAAGTGACGTCGTATTGGCTTGCGATGAACAATCGATGCACTGTGTTTTTTTTTTTTTTTTTTTTAAAAAAAAAAAAAGACCAATCTGTGGCCCAATAGTTTAGCAGTATAGCCGCTCGGCTATAAACCAAATATGATATTTCAACCGTATAGCCGCCCGGCTATACTCTAAAATATAATATTTTACGAGTATGCCGCGCGGCTGTATTCTATAAATATAATATGAGTATAGCCGCCCGGCTATACGCCAAAAAAATAATATCTTAAACGTATAGCCGTTCGGCTACACTCCAAAATAGAATATTTTAAAAGTGTAGCCGCGCGGCTATTTATTAACTAAATAAATTATAATTACTAATTTAACTAATTAAATAATGCAAATATATTATTTAATTACTAAAAATAAATTGAAAAAAATTCATTAACCTAAACATGCTAAGTTTATATTTATGTAAAAAAAGAAAAAGAAAAAACTGTCCCGACGAAATTTCGTCGACATATGTCTCTCCTGGCAAAATTTGCCGTATTAGACCTCTCCTGATGAAATTTCGTCGGCAGAGATACTTTTGTCGGGAGAGGTCTAATCCGGCAAACATTTGCCTGCATAAACCTGTGCCGACGAAATGTTGTTGGGAGAGTTTTTTTTTATTTTATCTAAATTTTAAACATATAAAATTAGTTTCTTTTTCCTTATTCGAAGAACTACTTGTCACATTACAGCTGGACCCTACTTGTTCAACATATTGGCTGGAGGTGGAATTTTGTTACATGCTAAATTGAAAATTAACATCTTACATTTGCCCATATTCCCCAAGATTTGGACATGAACAAAACTACAGAACTAAAATTGCTATATTATAAGAACATAGAATGAAAGTGCAAAGTAAATGAGTAATGACCAAAAAAGTGTAATTTGGCCTTTTATTATTATTTAAAAAAATATTAAAAACGTCATTACATTAAAATAGAAATCATTACCTAGATCATTGCCAAGCAAGGGCGGCCTTGGGGTGGTGCAAGTGGCATGTGGCACCACCGCACCGGGCCCCCGAAAAAAATAATCTTTATATTATATATATTAATATACTAAGAGTTGTATATATACTTTAGCATGTTTACAATTAGCACAAAAGTGTGTGTGGTGGAGTTGGGCTTTCAACGCTTATCCCTTTAATAGAAGGCCCCGGCTTTTGTCTCATTGAGTCATTCCATCTGCTTTTTTAAAAATTATTTTTGCATTATAACAACAAACTTTAAATAATTATAAATAAAAACCAGTAACACGTTTATAAAAAAATAAATAAAATAAAATAAAAAAGGAAACATCGAACCAAGCTAACTAGCATCAGTATATATATGCCCCCCAAACGCAAAAATAGGGTTTTCTCCTCCAAAAAAAAGTACTTTCTTCCACTCAAAATAAAACAAAACAAAAATTCATAGCTTCATCTTTCTCTTAAACTCCGATTTTCTCGTAAGTACTCATCATCATTCATCAATTTCTCTTTGGTTCTTTTTTCAATCCTTTGACCATTTTTGTTATTCTTTCAATTTCAAGAATTTCAACACCAAAAAGAGAAATTCCTAATTCCTAATTCCTAAATTTTTATGAATTTGATTTTTTATTGTAATTACATGTTTATTGATGGTGACTTTTAGTTTTTTAAAAAATTTGTTTTATGACTTTAAGTTATGGCAAATTCTTTTTTATAATATTTTAGTATAGATTATGTGAAGCCCCAATTTAAGTTTTGCACAGGGCCCTCAAAATCTTAGGAACAGCCATGCTGCCAAGTCCGACGTCATCGAAGCGATTATCCAATAGGCCCAAAGGCGCTGGAGTTAGAAATAATTCCACACATCTCGTCATCTTTAGTTTCAATGTTCTTCCCAAAATTTCAATGAGCTAACCATAACCAAGCTTTGCAGGAATTTTCAACTTCCTCTTCTCACTTACGCACATTCCACTTTAGGACGAAATTAGAGAAAACACTCTTCAATCTCAATCTAGTTAGCGCCAATGAGGATTGGGAGGGAAATGGCTTAGAAGGACGAAATTGCCATCAAAATAGGTTACACGTGAGCCTCACGTGGTTTGGTTTGACGTAAGATTGGATGAAATCTCATAAAATCTAAAGGCATGTGTGAAATTGGCAATTTTAATTAATTCATGTGCTAAATTGGCTGACTTTATAGTTGAAAGAGTTAAGTTCGATAAGGGTCCTAATTCAGGGGTCTTTCAACAATTTACTCTAATGAAAATGCTAAGAAAATTAGTAAAGTTCACACGACTAGAAAGTGTAATTTGGCCTTTATTTATTAAAAAAAGATTAAAAGTAACTACATTGTAACAGAATTTCATGCACTCCAATAATTAGGTAAAACACATCTCAGACCCCAAAATATTAACATGGACTAAACAAAAACCACCATCTCATAAGTGGACTGTGAGCAGAAATCCAACATTCTCAACCTCTCAAAATATACTCAACTTGCGAAGAGACTTGTACACATGAAATTTAAGTTTATATCCTCTCATAGGAGTAAAGGATCCACGTTACCAACAATGCAGTCGGTCACGAGAACAGGGGATGCTTCAGCCTTGTCAGATAGAACCGGGGAAGGAGCAGCCAAATTCCAAGTATAATAGTTTTCAAAGTCCAACGCCAACGTGTCCACTGGGATTTGAGTGTCACCAAGAGGAGGCACATACGAATCCGAAACTGCAGTAAATGTGTATGAAGAAGGACCAGCCACCTTCGCATTCAAATCTTCAATATCACTCAAGGCGCTCCACTTCTCGCCCAACCCGATGTCATCAGCATCAGAAGCAGGAGGAATGTCTTGTTTGTGATTCATGGTAAGCCTAAAAGAAAACAGAAGGAAAAATAAATCAAAGCATTTATTCTGACAAAATAATAATAATAGTAATAATAACAAAGCACCTAGCAGTTTAGATATTCTCAATAGTAGACCCAAAAAAAAAAAAACACCACTCTAGATATCATACCAAAAACTCCTTGAGGAAGGTTGAAGTTGTTGAAGGGTTTAGACAAGAGAATTTTCCGATACTACGTCAAACAAAATATATGAATTTTTTTTTAAATATGTATTGTTCTCTAATATGGAAGTCTTTATAAAGAAGTACAAAAATGTGTTAACTAAATAAATCTCAATTACAATAGGACAATATAAACGAGTAAGTAAGACAATATGCGGGTAAGTAATATATAAACGGGTAAGTAGGACTATAAGGATAGAGGTATCCTTCTTCAGAAACCTCTCGAGGAAAAATCGTTTTGCTGCGCTCACAAAAACACATTCCTCACGCTCAGGGCAACTCATTCTCTTTCTCTCCGCGCACACAACTCGACCTCACCCAACAATCCTTTTCGGTAACCTTTCCTCTCTAAACTTTCCTCCCTTTCTCTGTGATCTCATCTCTGGCTTGTTATACAAGTTATATTCAAATCCAAAGGCGATGCCTTCCTACTTTTCGTTCTTTCTCTCTGTGTCTAGGGTTTTGAACAAAAAATCAACAACATGATGAATAGCAACGTCAATTGTGAGCCTGAGCATCCAATTCCAAACAAAACTCTGGCTCTTCGTCGGCGAAGACGATGAAAAAGGCAGCAAAATAGTAGAAGTAGAAGTAGATATATTCTCTTTCTGGAGGCCCTTCTCTAGATGCCAAGGTACCTTCTTCTCTTGTTCTTATTCGTCATATTTTCATGTATCATATTTAAGATAAAACTTAAAAACAAAAAAAGAATTTATGTGAAGATCATCTCCCTTGTGTTCTCTGCCTGGGTAAAAGTTTGATTGGGTGCTATATGAAATCAATGGCTTAGTCTGAGGTCACCACTAGACCAGTAAAATCAAACTATTTCATCATTTTGTAATAATTTTTCTTGCTAAATTTCCCATATAAGATAAATTCCATTCTCGAGATTTCTGAAGTATGACAAAGCCTTGTCATCTATAAGCCTTTTGTTGAAGGAAAGAAAATAAGTCAATGATCTGTTATAGAGAGATTGTAGGAACTGAATGTAATTATTATATATTCAGTATCTATTTACCTAGAATAGCCATTCCTTGTATGTATAGAATTCCTTACCTAGAATAGCTGTTCTCGTGTGTATATAAGTCCTAGTTCTGTATGAAGTTGAGACACACATATATATACAAAGATATCAATTCTTTCATGGTATCAGAGCATTAGACGACTCTGAAGTACAAACACCTTCCGCTACAAACACAAATACAGATATCAAACACCATACACAGCAACCATGACTGAATCAAATACCACAAAGCCAACAGACACCTCCTCCGATCCGCTCTCTTTACACAACTCTGACACACCTGGACTTTCCCTAGTTAACTTCAAGCTTGAAGGCCACAACTATGGCCAATGGAGCAGATCTATGCATCTCAGCCTCAGCGCCAAGAACAAACTTGGATTCGTTGATGGATCTGTCAAGACACCATCATCTGATGACTCAAAATTCCCATTGTGGCAGCGCTGCAATGATATGGTTTTGTCATGGATCTTGCACTCCTTACATTCTGACATAGCCAGCAGTGTTCTCTACGCTAAAACAGCGGCTGCTGTTTGGACTGACCTTCGAGATCGATTTTCACAGAGCAATGACTCTAGGATTTATCAGATTCGACAAGAAATTGTCGAGTGTCGACAAGGACAGCAAACAATCTCCATCTATTACACGAAGTTGAAAGCTCTTTGGGATGAGTTAGCCTCATACCAAGAGCCTTTTTTCTGTGACTGTGAAGGGATGAAGAACCTTGCCGAGAGAGAAGAAAAAGAGAGAGTGATGCAGTTCTTGATGGGCTTGAACGACACCTACTCTACGGTTCGAGGATCGATTCTGATGATGCATCCCTTGCCTGATACGCGCAAGGTTCACGGTCTGGTTCTTCAGCATGAACGCCAGGTTGAGGTGACCAGCCGGAATGACAGTCTGATCACTCCCCATGCAATGCAAATCAGTCGTTCCTCGGTGGCTGGA